ACCATGTGACTCAAAGGAGTGATCCCAGCAGTACCTCCTGTTTTTACCCACCTAAGAAATTGTGCAGATACCCTGTTTTCCACAAAGTAAACACTTATGCACATTAGGGCCAGCGTACAGCCCCGGACAACCGGGACTATGCGCTGGCCGGGGACCTCGAGCCTGAGGGATTGCGTCCCTGGAGTCGCGGATAGTCGTTCATCCGTAAGTGGTGTGCTCTTCAAATAGGGAAGAACCCACCAATGCATGGCAAGGCAATGGTATACGAAATTCGGCCCGGTCCCAGCCCAATACTCTCAACTAGCGGTTACACATCGCAAAGAACTACTCTTGCTGGAAAAACATACATTCATAGCAAGTCCACGCAGCAGACGATCCATTTTGTAGTACCAAACTGAAAAAATGATTCACACTTCCATCAGAGCTTATATACTCTGCCTTATCTCTATCACTATCAGCATATATCAAGTCATCATTCTATTCTAGTGACCGTGCAAATCATATGGTCATGAAGATTTATGGACACTTTTTGAATACTATACCATTTTTCCTGTAGTTTCCAGACAAGTACCGTCCGTAACAGAGCCTGGCCAAATTGAATGTCAACGGACTCTGTTTTACCCGCTCTGGCGGCAGTGTATCGGCGCAGTATTGCCAGTTAAGAGCAGGGAGAGGTCAGGAAACTTCGTGCCGCCACAAAATAGTAGTCCCCCCTGAGGTTTTCTTCTCAGGTACGACTATCTCTTCTTCACCATCTCTCTTCCTACCTGACATCGTCCAAGACTCCCCCAAATTCCACCACCGTCCCAAGTTTTTTTTCCCTGAAGTGCTCTTCAGGATCGGCGAGAGCGGGGAAAATTGAGGAAAGTCAACAATAGAAACCATTTCTTACAGACGAATATGACACTCTCCCTTCAGCGACCCAATACGACCTCCCGCTGGAGATTCCCAACATATGACGTGCCTTAATAGCAACGCACCCGACCACTTGCACTCTCTTACTCAAGAGTTGTTCACGCCCCTACCTTTTCTACCCTAAAGCTTATAGGACCGCAAGAACGCCCACAACCGAGTTCGTAGACACTCTCTTTCTTGGAAAGGCTATTTGGGTTATTCCAACGCTCACATTTGCGAAGACATGCAGCTGTAGTCAAGATTTATTATTCAGATCACAATATGAATTGGATTCAATCACACCAGTATTCTAACAATCCACAATTCCAGGAGACGGTCAAGACAATCGTCATTCGCTGCTCTCCGTCGCGCCACGGAATAGTCGCAGGCATTCTTCGTTTCTGCATTGGAATGTCGAGCACACCGTTTCATGTAGGCAACAACCTAGTCCATTGCCGCCATCTACGGTCTAGAAACTTCCTTTTTTGCAGATTTGATGCGCACGCGACGCCTCCACCAGCTCAGCGAATCACGATTGCCCTGTAACACAGCAACGATTCCAGTTACATCATGTCGCATTAACACTTGCGACTCGAGTCCAAGTACAAATCGCGCGATCTCGAGCCGACCGCTCGACGAACCGCACTCCATCGCTATTCGTTGAGCCGCTGCAACAGCTGACTGAATCGCATTCAGGGAAAAAATGCTCTCTGAAATTGCAGCATTCCAATGATTAACGGTAGAGCGCGGTCGATCGATCACAGTCGATTCCCAGATCCCGTGCCACATCTGTCTTTTGCAGTCTCTGAATGCTATCGCTGATATGCACAACTCATAATTAGTGCTCTCAACATGTGCTAATTATCGAACTTTACTATTATAGCTTTTTCTAACAATGATTGACCAACAATTACCTAAGCCTGATTACCTAAACTTCGCAGCTTACAAACGTAACAACAATTTGAGCCTATAACAACCAGCTTGAGTCAAGCTCATTAAACATTATAACAATCTAGGAAGAACTATAGTTCGTATCATCGCAATCAGGTGAAGAGAGGGCCGTCAGGACGGATGGAATCATCCCTTGCTGCTTTTTCTACACATCAATTAGGAAGAAAAGGTCGGTGAGTAAACGTCACGGGTGAGCTCATTTCCTTCCGCTAGACACCCCCGTCTGATTGCGACGATGTCAGCTGCATTCCACTAGACTACGACCATGTCTCATATTGGATCCGCCCTAAGCTCTCCAGCTTCTTCAAAAATGTGCCTTCTGCCCATCCATGACGTGATGCGATTGTTTCAAGCGCAGTTCCGACATCCTTGGGCATATCTCCTGCGCTTCCGGCTATGAATACGAATCCTGCAACAATAAAAAAAAGTGTGGAAACAAAGGTTTAAGGATGCCGCGGTTCCAGAAAGGAGCCTACCGTCTTCCCGACTCATGATATTCCAGACCTCATTGCATGTTTCAGAATCAAGTTCTGCACGTATACCTAAAACCATTGACAGTAACGTTTTGGAAAACGAGTTTGTTCACAAAAGATCAACTGGTGTCAAAAGAGACAGTGTAATTGACAAGACTGACGAGCCGTTCAGGGAAGATTGACATGATCAAGCCGTAAGTAAGAGAGTTTGATCCAGGCCTCAGCTAGCTCGAAAGCCTTTCATTTTCTCCAGTTTTGTGCTGATTGTCTGGTTAAAAACGATGTCTATGTCCACGATTCATAGAAGCCCTTCCTTGTAGAGGTAGCCCGGTCCACAATCGAAGCTTGTCCCTCTCTCCCGCCTTGACAGTAAGTGAAGAGAACGCAGCAGCCGTCATAAGCTGAAGACACGTCATCCTCAGGCATTACGATACCCTTCCCGGTACGAACTATACCGCCAGAAACGGTGCGCAGTTTGGCGACGCACGCGGGGCGCCTTTGCACTTTAGCTACTCCCATTCGCGACGCTGTCGAACAATCTAGACAGCCTCGAGCCTGCATGATTGCTTCGACGGACCTTGTTCCAGTTTCACAAGAGTGGATAGACATTTTTCACCAGAGCCGAGACTTGTTAATAGACGGAACTAGTGGAAACAATGCGAAGTTACAAGAAATGCCCACCCCCATCGCCGAACTGCGCCCAGCAGACCCATATCTACAAGCACAGTGGCAGGCGTTGCGTCCATTATCTGCCCAGACCGACTGAGGATCTCTCTGGTCTTCTTGCTCTCTCAACCTATGTGTCTAGTCTGTCACCCGTGCAGCAGTGTCTCCCTTCCTAGTGGACTGACCCAGTCGAAGGAGCTCTATTTCTGACATCTTCGAAAGTCTCTTTTCCCCACTCTTCCCATCACGTTCAAGTCCACTAGTACCCATAATTTAATGTTTGAGCCTTAAAGGCAGCGTCCGCGATCAACCAAAGTGAAAAAACCCTCCAATGAAAACGAACGCGGAGTTCGCAACCATAGCGGATATCCCACTCCTGCGGCTCCTCGAAATGTATTGATTGACGAGGGCGGAGTCAACAAGGCTGAGCTGACGCCTCCTTCCCTGTTAATCCCGCCCCGACTGGTTAACAGTTATCAGTGCTTGCTGGCATTGATAAACGCTAAGTTTCTGGAGTTCCGAGGGCAAAGTTATTTGGAGAACTCACCAAAGGTCTGCGAAACTCGTCCACATGCCTTAAATTTCGTAGGGTCTTATTTCACGCTCTTCCACACCTTTTTCCTACTTTTTTTGATTAGTGCTTCATTGGCCACCTGTTCTAACAAATTTGACCCCTGAGACCTGCCAAAGTCCATCGCGGGCGCTGTCTTTAATGTGAGCCGTTCGCGTGCTCGCCGCGCACCTTGGGGCTCACACCGTGTGCCGACCGTCGCAGGGCTAGTCCGGGCTATCGGGTCGCCTGTTCACCACCTCTCTTGCTCGTTCGTCGCTCCTTATTCGAGACAGTGACCAACAAGCTGCAGAAACCCTGCTAGTGTACAGATGGTAGTCGGTGGTCCGCAATCACAAAGACGTCCCACTCCTGCGACTCGGAAGTGACTGATGAACGGAGGTGGGCTCAGCTACGGTTTGCTAGCTCCGAATTTGCAAGCTAGTCTCTCCTCGATCGATTTTTCGTTATCAGTTCTCGTCGGCGGTGATAAGATCTTCGGAGAAAAAAAGATCGCATCAAACATGCCTTGAAGTATGAGTAGCAGCGAGGCAGAGGCTAGATTCAGAGAACTCGTCCACACCCCAGTTAACTCGTCCATTTCCAGCCCCGTACATAGAGTGCTAATCGGGGCGTTTTCGACGATTCTTTCGCTTTTTTTTCTTTATTAGTGTCCCACGTGCCACATTATCTGATGGTTCTTTGCTCTACAACCTGCGAAAGGCGACCGCAGACGCTGTCTTTAAGTCCACTCAATGTAACCATAGACCAACATATTTGAGTTTCACAGGGAGCACAGCCTGTCTCAACCGCTGCTTACCAATCACACATCCTACCGGGAGTCAATTTGCAGTCATATCAATGACTTTTCTACAGAATGGAACAGAAGAAAAGAATGAACTTCTTACTTTCTGACCAGGAGTATCGCGACTGAATGCAGTGTACACCTGTGTTGTTAACATCTCAGGCCACTCAGATTCAAAATAAAAATCCTTTTTCTCTCCTCGGCAACCGAAAAATAATATTGACTCCGCAGCCGTCTTACATCTGCAATAAGTTCGGTTAAAGAATTGCAGTTGTGAATAGAATTAAGTAAGAAAATTTCGCCATCGATCGTCCATCCAGTCCACATTGGAATGCGCCACGTTTTAATTCCACTCAGAACCGTAGTGGTGCTCTGGCACTGTTTGGTTTGAGGTGGAGGGATCATTTCGCACATTCGCTAGTTCCCTTTTGCTAACTCATGTTAACTGACAGCTCTCAACTTGGTGATACCTATAAACTGTTAGGCAGCGTTCAGACTTCGCGACGGCAGCGCTTCGGTCGCGCGTTCGACGCGATCGATGCAGTCGAAAGCATGCGCATCGATCGCGCCGAACGCGCGACCGAAGCGCTGCCGTCGCGAAGTCTGAACGCTGCCTTAAGAAGCTGCG